CTTATTCACCCGCTTTGTCTTCAGCGGTTGTGTCGGGAAGGTGGGCATCGAAAATGATTCTGTTTTATAGATAGCTCGCATTTTGTTTATCCATTCTTCAGCTAACGGACATCGAGAGTTGTTTCAGTCTGTTGATTATTAGAAATAATCCTGCAGTTACCAATTGTGTGTAAGCTTTGTGTTTTAATGTCCCCTGGGTGTATTTATGTCTCACTGGAATTGTGAGGTCATATAATCGTTTCTGTTTCCCGTTGTAAGGAATTGCAAAACCTTTTGTTCAAACTATCTATGCCATTTTACCTATATACTAACAATGTCTAAGGGCTCCAGTTTGTCAACATTCTAGCCCATACTTGTGTTAAGTCTTTTTCCCTGAAAAAAATTCTCTGCTCTTTGATTGTGTCAGGGAAGGTTGAGAGAGAGAGAAACAGCACCTTCAGAGGTGACTAGACCTGGGTGGAGGATATGTTAGGAAATAATAGCTTCACACTTTGAGTTTCTTATTTAATAAAGGGCTCCATGATTCTGTAGCAATACTTTTTTGACCAGCAACGTAGTGACCGGTCCACCCGAGGCACAGCCTTGATGACTGTCGTTTGCAAAGCAAGCTCTGAAAGTGTGAAGGGTGGGGCCTCCGACGTTGTGCTTCTTTCTCAAGAGGACTTAGGCTACTCTTAGGCCCCTTGGTTTTCCACTCAGTTGCTTCACCAAAGACGCCGGGCTCTTGATCACATTGCATGGAATCTGTAAACTCAGATTATTAGGGGATTAATTCCATCTTTACAATATTCTGTTTTCCAGTCCATGAGTCGAGGGTGTCTTTCCCCTTAGCTAGCGCTTCCTTAAGATCTCTTAACAATTATCTTGCCATGTCCAGTGTGCACATCTTGTAGTCCTCTTGTGAAATTTATTCCTATGTTAATCTGTTCATTGTTACTGTAAGTGAAATTTTTGTTCTCTTTGTGTCCTTTGGATATTTGTTTCATTGCTACTGTGTGGAAAACTAATTTTCTTATGTTGGTCTTGTATTCTGTCACCTTGCTACATTTATTAGTTCTAACTGGAAGAGTTGGTTGAAAGATTGGGATTGGCCTATGAGTCTTTGTATTTGGACTTTTTGGTGGCTCCCTTTGAAATGCACCCTCTGCTGATGTCAGAAAGTAGGGGGGAGGGGCTCTTCACGAAGCAGGATGGTGGTGGTTATGCTGATTGTCCACTGTAGGACAACTGACCTCACTTCCAGGGAAGGCGGCTAACTCCAGGTCAACACTGGGGTCTTCCCTTTTGCTCCTGGCTGCTAAACAAGGAGGACGGGCCACCATTGCAGGTCATGTTTATCTGCAAAACATATCCAAAGGTCTTTAGATCTTTATTCAGAACTCTAGTTGTGAGTTGCTTTCCAGAACCATCTGCCTCAGTGGAACTCTGGATGTGTATCTTGCTCAGTGCCCTCAATAGCCTGTGACTTACTAGTAGAATTTAGTCCAGAAACATCGAGCCTTGCTTAAAAGTGGCATACTGGCCTCTTCTTGAGCAAGGAGAGTCTGAGGAAAAGGAGTTTGTTGGCTCCCAGACATCACGTAAGGTAATACGTACAAATTTGTAGTTGTCTACTTGCATATTTCAAGGTGCTTTTTAGTCATTAATCAGTCTACCAGCCAATGGGAAAAATGAATACAAAAAAGAGAATAATAATGGCCAATGGTGACTGAGTAGTTATTACGTGGCAAACCTGACCTTAAATCCTTTACACCTACTGTCTCTCATTCTCCTCAGCTGTTTTATAAGGTCAATACTAATATTATTCTTTATTTCATAGCTGAGGGACTGAAGCAGAGAGTTAATATGAGTGTCCTACTGGTACACAGGTACAGAATGGAAGAGGCACAATTTCACCTGGATTATGTCTCCAGAGTCTACCTTGAACCAGAGAGTCTAGTGAGTCCGATATATTCATGATCAAGGATTGAGATTCCAGGTCTCTGGAGTCCAAGTTCCGGTTTTAAAAGTCATCCATCTCTCTGTTAATGAAGAAAGGGATTTTTAACTGATATCTAATGCATGTCCATTAGAACAGGCTCAAATTATACCAACTACCCTAAGTACTAAGGTATTATGAATTTGAGATTAGACCAGCGATTCTCAACCTGTGGATCACGACCCCTTTGGGGGTAGAACGACCCTTTCACAGGGATCACCTGATTCATAACAGTAGCAAAATTACAGTATGAAGCATCAACGAAAATAATTTTATGGTTGGGGGGGTCACCACAACATGAGGAACTGTATCAAAGGGTGGCAGCATTAGGAAGGTTGAGAACCACTGGATTGATTAGACAGTCTCTCTCTGCAAAGGATAGTGTAATACTACAAATTACATTTTGCACTCCAAATACTTACACATTGTAATTATGAAAATTTCATCAAATGCTTACTATCTGCCTGGGTGAGTGTATCAATGAACTGAATCAACAAACTCCATGAAATGGACATTCCTGTGATCGTTACAGACGAAGCCACTGAAGCAGGCCTCTGAGTGACTTGCCTCCGTCCGGTCAGCTGGCAGTGAGTGACCAAGCCATGTGTCCCCGAGTTCGTGTTTGTGTCCCTGTTGCTCTGTAGTTTCCCTCAATTCACAGTCGGCTGGAACATGGCCATAGCGATGCAGCGACCTCAAGAAGGAGCTGATGGGAAAGACTGGTCAGCGTGCTTGTGCATGTGGAGGCTGGAGTCACATCTGGGGGGGAGCAGCACCAGTCGACCTTTTGCTCACGGAGAGAAAGTCTGGTGGTGAGAGGGCAAGAAAGGCTGTTGTGTCGAACGTGATGACTGGAACCAAATCCGGACATTTGAGAAGGAATATGAATCTGAAAAGGGAGGCTTTGAGCCTGGTGTGTACTCTGCAGGGACTGGGGGTTCCGAGAGGTTTGGGAGTGCTACCATAGGGATGAAAAGAGACAGTTTGAAAGCAGTTTTACAACATTACTTTAAGAAGCTGGGCTAGCAGCTACAGAGGCTGAGTCAGCGGTAGATTCGTGTAAACACCAACGACTATACACATGTTTCTACTAGTTGAAGAAGCATCTGGAAAAGAGCGAGGGCATTTTGACCAGACAAGAGGATGGCTCTCTTCTAGGACAAATTATAATAGTTTCCGTTGACTTGTGATGGCAGCAACACAGCCTGGCTGGTTTTTGGCACTTCATCCTTTGGTGTTCTACGGGTTTCCTGCTCAACATTCTAAGGCCAATGCAGGGTTAGGCATTCAGACCCTTGTGCTTGGGTGGGCAGAAGGTGGGCCCCATGCAGGCCAGCGCCTCTGGAGCTGGGCATGTCTGGGTCAGTCTTCCTCCTGATGTGCAGGTCTGTGCTCTGCGGGCTTGATGGACTCCGGAGCTTCTTTCCTCTCCTCTTCCAGCTGTGTTTAGTCCTGGCTCACGAGTGCACTGTTAATGTCCTTCAGAGTCGAAGGTGTTTTGCAACAGTCTAAGATCATCTAAATCAGTCAGTCTCGACCTTCCTAATGCCGCAACCCTTTAATACAGTTCCTCATGTTGTGGTGACCCCACAACCATAGTTATTCTCATTGCTACTTCATAACTGTAATTTTGCTACTGTTATGAATTGGGCCACCCTTTTGAAAGGGTCGTTCAACCCCCAGGTTGAGAACCACTGATTTAAATGATCAAAATAGCCCCCATTGTGCTGTATTCAACGGTATTATTAAATTACACTTTCTAAATTATGTTTACTACAAGGAAAAAGATTACATTCACATCAAAAGCAAATAAGTCAGGACTGCCCACCTTTTTTGTTGTTATTTTTTGAGTCCTCCTTTCTGACCCACCACGTGCAAATGAAGATCTGCTAGAGTCCAGTGTCAATATATGAGATTTCTGAAGATTTTTGGTCCATTGAACTTGGGCATCTTTTCTCAAGTCCTCACACAGGTATCCAGAAATACCAGGATGGTGTGCCCAAGATCCCCACGGCCTGCCTGACAGTCGAAGATGCAGAAATGATGTCAAGGATGGCTTCTCATGGAGTCAGAATTGTCATCCAGCTGAAGATGGGGGCCAAGAACTACCCAGATGCCGACTCCTTCAACACCATAGCAGAGATCCGTGGGAGCAAGTACCCAGAGCAGGTGGGTGACGTGGGCTGTCTGGGAAGAGGCCTTTCTGGTCAAGTTTCAGTTGTCAGAGAAATGGGCCCTCTGTTTCCCCTCCTGATTTTGTCATTTCCTTTCTGTCTCTCCCCGATTGCTGTTTTGTTTGGTTGTTTTGCAAGGTAGCTGAAAGTGATCCGCTGAAACACAAATCTTGACGGGGTGTTCCTCAGCTTTCAGGCTGCCCTCCCCGAGTTCCTGTAAGATAAAGATGGTGATCAGATCCGCGCTGGTGAATGGTCAGTGTTTGGTAAAACACAGAGGAGATGAGAGAAAGGAGGACTGGTGGGGAGGCAGTTTTAGTCCCAAGGGAACTACAAGGTCCTGTGTATAAGGAAGAGGAAAGGAGGATCCAGCACGGGGAAGGAAGTGTGTGTGGAAAGTCCGTGCCAACGGAAAATGGTTCTTTGGAGACCAATGCCAGAGGTCAAATTTCCTAAACTCTGGGCAGCTTTCCGAATGTCATTCAGCGTTATTTTTAATCACCCATACACCCAGTCCTCCCTTGTCAGCATGTTAGGTTCCAAAGACCAGGGCAGTATGCAGAAACGGGCATTATGCCAAGAGGGAGGGTGACCATGTCAGACCACAAAATGGGGAACATTAACTGCCAATTTCCATCATCTGTCAAATCACATCATTCCAGAACTGGCAACCCCCTGAGCATCCCGGCCCAGCCAAGTTGAAAGGTAGACTTGACCATCACAGCCAGTGTTACTCTCACCTCCCATCCTGGTGTTGGTTACTACCAAATGTAAACCATTAAGGCACAAGTCACAGCGTTGATTGCAACGTGTCGTAGGGTGAGATAAGTGGTAAGAGAGGAGGAGGAGTGGTAGGGCTGCCAGTGGTGGGACTTTGATTGGATAGTTTGTGTTAACTTCCAGATCTTGACACAGCTTTGGTAACTCATTCCATATTGTGCTAAACATAAAGATGAGCAAATTAGTTGCAAGGAAGTTATTTCTCAAAAAGAAGAGGGTGTGTTGAAATTACCATTCTTCTGCCTGCAGCTTGAATCTCTGCGGAGGCTGGAAGTTTGGAAAGGGGGAGGAAGGTAGGTTAGCCTTCAGGCTGAGGCTGCTATCACTCATAGGTAATAGTGGTTAGTGCAGCCCCAAACCATCTCATTATAAATGCTACTACCACAACGTAATAAGAACAACAGTGGCAGCAGGTGAGGCAGCCCTCTGCTTGGGCCCAGGGACCCTACCTCAAGGTGTGGTGAATATTGGCTCCATAAATGTGTATGTGTGATTAATATTGTATGAACATATTTCCAAACCCCATTTTAGAGAAAAATTGACAAGGGTCATAGGTGATGCAGAATTGATATAATTGATCTCACTGAACAGTTATAATGAATTGACAAATATGGGACTACCTGAATCTGTACAATAGTAAAAGAAGCTAAATCCAAATTTATAATAGCTAGATTGGGCCAAACTAATCAGAAACTTAAAAACAAAATGTTTACATACAAAACTTTATTCATGGCAGAAGATGGCTAAAAACACACACTCCCACATCCGTTCCTGTTGAGTTGATTCTAACCTATGACAACCCTGTGTTACCGAATACAGCACCTCCCTAGGGTTTCTTGGCTGTAATCTCTACAGAGTTGATTGCCAGCCCCCCCACCCCTTTTTTTCCCCTAAAGTCATGTGTGGGTTCTAACCACCAACCTTTAGGTTAGCAGCCAATCGCAAACCTCTTGTGCCACTCAGGCTCTGCATCACAGACATAAATCACACCCTCCTCCTAACTCATCCACAAGGTCACATGTTGGCTCCTCCAAGCCAAGACTCCTCTTTCTAGTCCGACCTCATCAGAATCTGTGCTCTGCCATGTTTTAAGCATGGTGTGTAGCATTCAGCAGACCTTGAACCCATCAAGAAGTGTATTTCATCAGGGAGAAAGCAGACCTCAGGATCTCTGATATTAGGCCTCCAAAGTTCTTTCTCCCAGACAACTTTTTCCCCTGGAAACCAGGTCCGAGGCCCATTCATTACAGAGGATGCATTTGAGACAGCAAAAGAGAGCTCCTTGACTTCAGAGCAGACGCTCTCTGGCGTGAAGGTAGCAGTATTATTTACAGTTCATTAAGGAGCTAATTTGTATTTTAAGATTCATAGGAGACTTGTTGCCAGCCAAGGATAGCTTTTATTTATTTATTTGTTTTATTAATTCGATAAAGGTTGTCCTAACATTGGAAAGAGTCATAGGTAGTGATAGAGAGGTAGGAATTTTACAGGCGTATTACAGACTCTCCTATGAAGTACTGGCTCTCATATGAAGAAACTGGACCCATGAGTGACTTGTCCAAGGGAACTCAGCAAATGCATGAGGGACCATACCAGGGACATGACTTCAGATTTCCTGACTCCCTTCTTTTGTGTTTTGTTTGAGCCCAAAGTGATTCCACTATGCCTGGGAGGGATGTTGTTTGATGACATCCCTCAGGATACAGGCAATGCCATCCCTACCAAGTCATTGTTTCTGAAATATGTTTCTTTACTTCATGTCTTTTCTTTGAGTATCTGTTATAGGAACAGATAGCTCTCAGATGAGGGGATTAAAACAACAACAACAGAAAAAAAAACCTGGAAAAAGCTCTGCTGGGCACAGCTTTCGTAGTACACATTTTTCCCACTAGGCAAGCATCCAGCAACTTCTCTGAGTTAGTGCACCTAGTGGCATCACCTAGGAAGGTTCTCTTTGGTCACAATGAATTTTCTCATAAAAGCAGTTTCCCGCAAACCTTGTTTTTTGTGATGGCTGATTTAGAGAACAGTGTGTGGCTGTGCCATTTTGTTCCCTGCTCCGGAAAAGTGCTGCAGAAACTGTTGTGATGTTGAACACAGCTTACAAGGACAGCACTCTGGGAAAAACTCAAGTGTATGTGTGGATTGCTCATATCAAAAAGGTGAAATGTCAATTGATGACAAACATTGTGCTGGACACCTGTCAACTTCCCAAATGGATGAAAATGTTGACAAAATTCTTGGATGTGTGCTCAAAGATCGATGATGGACAATGGAAGATGTTGGGGAGTTACCTGAACTCTCTTGGAGCTCGGGTCAGTGAATTTTAACAGAAGATTTGGGAATGAGAAGGGTCTCTGTGAAATTTGTGCCCCAGGTTCTGACTGACCAGGAAAAAAAGTGTTGACTTGGGACATGCTGTATTTTGAAAGAACAGCTCCAAAGAGACCCAAACTTTTTCCCCAAGGTCATCACTGGTGATGAGACATGGTGCTATTCTTATGACCCTGAAAGCAAACATCAAGCAAGCCAGTGGAAGACGCCATCATCACCTCGTCGCCTCCCCGCCCCCCCCCCAAAAAAAAGCTTGTCAAGTGAAAGCAAAGATCAAGATGATGCTCATTTGTGTGTTTTTTGGCATGAGGGGAGAATGCATTTGGAGTTTGTCCCACCAGGTTAGACTGTTGCGTCACAGTGAGCAACAAAAAAGGCCTAATTTGTGGCAGACCATGACAATGTACCTGCTCGTGCAGCCATCTTAGAGCAAATAAAACAGCATGCCTCTCTGGTCCCATGCATCTTGCTCACCTGAACTAGCTCCTTTTTATTTCTTTGAATGCAGACAGGGAATTTGACAATGTAGAAGAGGTGAAGGAAAAAAATGAGGGAGGTGTTGTCAGTCATCCAAACAGATGAGTTGAAAAATATTTCCAAGAATGGAATCACAGATTGGCAAATATATTAAGTGTCATGGAGAGTACTTTGAAGATGATAAGGTTGTTTTGTAAAAAAAAATTAAATACATAGCTTTGAAAAAAGTCTGTTTTGGGAGGTACCTCCTCATATACACTGTCCCTTGTTATCCCAGAGATTCCCTGGGGCAGTCAGGAGAGGGTTTCACTTGGGAAACTCACCTGTGCTTGGTCCTGTTTTCCTCATCCCCCCTCTATCGTCTTTATTCATCTTCTTAGCTCCTGGTCTCTTTGCAGAGGGTATGATATAAGTATCATGCTTCTGGTATTAATGACTCATTACAATGCCTTTTTGACTTGTTCCTCTCTTCCCTTATTCCATCCTCAGCTAACCAGGTGTTTCTCTTTTAGCATAGGACCACAAACACCTCCAAAATAAATCCAGTACCAATCACATATTTAAAAAAATTAATATCCCCAAATAACGAACTTTAATTTTTAAAATAATTTTAGATGTGCAAGCAAAAATGGTACAGATAGTTGGGTTTGTCCTTCATCCAGCTTCCCTAAATGATAACACTGTGTGTAACCCAATTATACCTTAACCCAATAGGAAGCAGGTGGGAAATATTCAGAGAGAATGCTGCTTTCTGGGCACCTCCCCATTTTGTAGTCAGGACTGATGGGCATCCATGACAAGGGAAGACATGCCACAGTGGAGAGTGAAGATGGCCTCACGAGTGTCCAGTGAGCAGTGTAGGATGTTAACTAAAATGGTCCTTTCCTGGGGCAGCTGTGGTTTGACACACGTTGACAAGCAAACAAAACACAAAAAGAAGGCTGTGCTCATATTGGCCTGTCCAGAGAGCAAACTGTCTTTAAACCAGGGGCTTACTTCATCTGTAGGAGAGACTCTCTCACTGATTGTAGATTCCCTAATGTCATCTCTGGAGGATTGTCCATTTCTTTGATCCCCAGTGATTTCCCAGAACTTGTTATGAGTTTTCATTTAGTCAATGCAATGTTTTTAAATGCTAATATATTCAAGAATTCTTCTAAGGGGATTGTGTAGAAAAGCTTTTTTTATTTATTTTGTGGGGTTAGGTTGTTAATAATCCCCAAACCCAGTGTAGTACAGCCCTTGATGAGGGGAATTACTTTTTTGTGTTTTTATAAATGTCCTTCCCCTAACATAATTATTTTCCTGGATTCAAAGAGCAATTTGAGCTGCATATGCCAGTATCATTACAAGTATAATGTAGCACTACAAAGGCAATCAGGGCACACAGCAATGAAAGCCATG